CTGCGGCGCGCCCGGGGAGAGCAGTGTCTACGGCAGCCCCGTGCTGGCACTGGGAACCTCCCTGCACGTGGCCAGGCAGTGCAGGGGGGCAGCGGAGCCTGGCCCAGCCCTGAGTGGGTTTAGACAGCACCCAGCCATCCACCGTGCTCCACGAGCCTGGGTGCAAAACCTCCCCACAGCACTGATGTGGGATGCAGTTTTCCCTCCTGCTCTGGCATTGCCTGCTGCAGCCCTGTGGGGAGGCTGGGGGCCACAAGGAGAGGGGAAATGCTGGGCAGCCCCACAGCTTCTTTCAACGGGAAAGACCAGCCACCCTGGTCAACCCCTCCCCAGCCAGTGGTGCTCCATATGGTGGGCAACCTGCCCCCCACACACACACACACACTTGCCTGCTGCTTAGGGTGCCATGGGCAAAGCAGGGTCCAATCTAGCTCACAACTGGGAACTGGCCTTCTAAGCCTGACAGCAGTAAGTCCTAGGTGTCACTGCCAGGGCCGAGTCAGCCTGCTGCTCTGGCACACCAGGACCGTCTGTAAAACCCCACTCCATCCTCGTGCAGAACCACAGATCATCATGCGACCCCGTAGAGGCACAGAGCACACGTGAATGATTCACGCTCCCTGCCTGGCTCACTCCGGCCCTGCTCCCGGTGTCCTTACAGTGTTGGGCACACCACGGCTCTGCTAAAATTTAGGGCCAGTGGGTATTTTAACATGGTGACAGGAGAGAGCTGTAGCCTGCCCTCAAGCTGTTAGCAACATGTTGGCTGCAGTGTAGCAGCCTCAGGCTAAGGAGGCAGGCAGGGAGGGAGCAGAGCAGAGGGAGTGGCAGGTGAGGAAAGCTACCTAAACTTGGCTGCCCCACGTAAGTGTTCCCGGCCCAGTGGGAGAGGTCAGCTGTCGCAACAGATTCTCCAAGGGTGTTTCATCTTCTCCAAAATACCCAGCTGACACGGCCAGAATTGCAAAGCACAACCTCCCCCTCCCACTCTCCCCAAGCTCCATATAAATAGAAGGCTCCCAGCTGGCTGGAATGTTAGAGAAGTTTCTGGACTTGGAGAACACACATTTATTTAAGCTCCTGCCAGGGATCTGAAGATAAAGAAGCAGGAAGAAAGAAGAAACAAGGCTCTCGAGTTTGGAAGTTTCTCATTCCCCAGAATTGCAAAGCACAACCTCCCCCTCCCACTCTCCCCAAGCTCCATATAAATAGAAGGCTCCCAGCTGGCTGGAATGTTAGAGAAGTTTCTGGACTTGGAGAACACACATTTATTTAAGCTCCTGCCAGGGATCTGAAGATAAAGAAGCAGGAAGAAAGAAGAAACAAGGCTCTCGAGTTTGGAAGTTTCTCATTCCCACAAAGAGATTTTCATCTGGGTTTTTTTCCCCCCTCTCCTCCTCTTTCTCTTGTGTGGGATTTAAAACAAACAGGAAACTTTGTTCTCTCCTCTCGCTGCTTTCTGCATTTTTAAATCTTTGAATGATTCAGCTCTAATTTTTTTTTTTAAATTTTGTTGTTTTGGAGGCCAGGAGGATTCTGGTATAAACTGCCTGTCAGAATCAAGGCACAGCAGTTCCTCTCTCCTTGGTTTGGGGGAGTGGACAAATCTTTCTTGGGAAATTCTTCCACTGAAGCTTGGCACTCAGGAACAGAAAAGCAAACACAGACATTTCCTGGGGCAGCTGGTGCACCAGAAGCTGGATAAGGTCGGAAGAATTTTATCCTCTCTTGCTGTTGCATTTACCATAGAATAAAATCATGGCTGATGGCCAGATGCCCTTTTCCTGCCATTACCCCACCAGGCACCGAAGTGTCCGAGACCGCTTCAGAGAGCCCGGCTTGTCCTCTCGACTCCTGGATGATGACTTTGGCATGTGCCCTTTCTCTGGGGACCTGACTGCAGACTTGCTGGACTGGGCTCGCCCGCGACTGACCAGTACATGGCCTGGTCCACTGCGGTCAGGAATGGCCCGAGCCTCCCCTGGCATGTCCCCTCCTGGGTACAGCTCCAGGTTCGGCAGTTACCCTGAAGATCGGAGTCCTGCTCCCTTCTCTGGGGAGCCCTGGAAGGTGTGTGTCAACGTGCAGAGCTTTAAACCTGAGGAGCTGACGGTGAAAACCAAGGATGGCTTTGTGGAAGTGTCAGGTGAGCGAGGGGCCAGTGGAAAAGGAAGGGAAGCGCAGAAAAGAGGAACACAGGGGAATGGAAATAAAACTAGTTCTTTAAAAATGGAGTTGTTGCTAGTGGGAGACAGCATTCAGGGCCTAGAGCAGGGCCACTCAACACGCAGCCTGTTTGTTTGCACTCCACAGTGCAGTTTGGTTTTACACGGGGCTCAAAATGCAGCCAGTGGAGTCAATAGAATGGTCTTCTGTTGATACTCGTTTTAGGAGTTAAATTCCTGGTGCTGTCATGAGGGTGGAAATCAGGTAATTATTGCATTTTATTAATATCAGCAGAACTGACTTAAATGGGGCCTGTGTGTTGTGTAGTCTTGCCCTAATCTTTGAATTTGTGCCCGTCAGTGTGAAAGAACTTAAAAAACAACAAATGGTCTGGTAGCACTTTAAAGACTAACGAAACACGTAGATGTTTTGTTAGTCTATAAAGTGCTACCAGACCATTTGTTGTTTTTTAAGTTTATCCTCTGCCGAACCGGCTTCCACCCCCCCCCCACA